TATATACAACAAATCTGCACAGTATATTAATTATTATTTCAACTTATAGAAACATTAACAACTATTAGACATTATAATGGAAAAAAATGATGCTACATAACATGCAAGTGAAATGCAAAATCAAATGAACAAAAGTGAATACCCATTGACTGAGTGAAAAAAAAAAATTCCATAGGTGACTAAACAGCTTTACAGTCTCATAAAAAAAGCTGAAGAAGATTGCATGTCAGAAATATTATGTTCTCCACTAAAGTGCTGACGGATGATGGTTTTTGTGGGACTGATAGTGCTAGAGAAAAATAAAGAGTCAGAACTTTAAGTTTTGAATGGAAGGTACTGAGAGTTAAGAAAAAAGATAAGGTAGATAACAAGGTGTTATCAAATGCAGATAAGCTAAGAGACAATTTTATTGTACACAATGCCATTATTATTCATACTGGAAACTTGAAAATTAAAAAGCTGATTCAATATTAATTGTTACTTAAATTTTCCATGTAACAGTGTTAGTTAAGAATGTAAGCAAGAAACCTTTTACTCCTTAGTTTTATATTTGCACTGATGCAGCAAATAACTTGTAGTGCATTTAATTGTTTTTCATGCTTTGTGATTACTGTACATGACATACGCAGGCGGTAACAGTTTACTTTATACAAATATACCTAACAAAAGCAGTGACAGTTAACTTAAAATGTCTGCATTTCAGACAGAACACATTAACTTCTCATTGTAGACAGCCAGTTTTCACAGGTTCTTATGGATGTTGCAGGTCCATTGGAGAGAAGCAGTACAGACTATCTTGATACTGAGACACTTTGCAATTCAGTTCCCGAAGGACTTCTCATCACACAGTATAAAAACTAAACAAGTAACAACAGTAGCATTTAAGGTTTTTACCCCTACAGTACAGTACAGTAGTATTATAGTAGTTCAAATACTATAGACATTTTGCATTAAGCATGTGGACTTTTAGAGCACCAGTTGGCAAGAACATCTATAAAAATAAGTAGGACTCTAATTCAATGAAGATAAGTCCATGTTGGCAAAATCTGAAGCGCAGTGTTAGTGAAATAATCTTGGCAACATAATTTTAAGACTACAGGCTAACAAGGTTAGTGTCATTTAAGATTGTCCATAGTCAGAGACAAGAAAATACATGCAGTCATTTTTTTCTTGAGTCTGCTAAAACTCAAACATCTGTCATTTCTAGATTTAGAGAAGGGAAGATAATGATGCCCCAAATCTTTGTAGCCATATATGATTTCTAAAATAACGTTTAACATATGGTACATATAAAATAATAAGATATTTAGTAAACTATTAATATTGTATTACAATAATCAAGCATAATTGGCTCCAAACTTTTGGCTCTAAGATGATCACTCATAAAAAATGACATGTTCCAGGTATTCATAACTGGACATAAACTAGTTGAGGTAATTTTCTGATGTATTTGAATCATTTGGCATCATACATTGCTAAGTGTATATCACAACAAATAGGATTTCCAACAGTTCTTTTTATGCAAGTTGTTACACAATTTTTAAATGTGCTGCATTAAGAAGCAGTTCTGTGGAGAAATAAAAAATGCTCGGTCTCTATAATACATACATATGAACAATACTAGGACATGAACTAATAAAAATTTCTTACTAAATAAGATTGTTAATTAATAAATCTTGTGCAGTCAAAGACAGAATAAAACCCATAACTAAAAAAATAAAAAGTAAGAACATCAAGCTGTCTGGTGGTATTGATACTGTGCATTCAAAGTGAGCATAGTCAAAATAAAACATTACATTGTTTGTAATATTACAATTTGTGAAATTACAGTATATAATTTTAGAATATATATATTTAAAATATTATTCTTCTCCCTAACAATAATAATTTCCTTACAATCTGCTGAGAGGAGTGGAAAATAGTTACCCGCTTGGAGCTTATATTAGCAGGGGTGGTTAACTTGTATTAGAAAAATAACTATGTACAGTACTGTACATGTATAGCTTGTTTAACAAATACTTATAAGTAAAGTACTCTTTTAACAAGAAGTACTGTCTGTGTACTTTCTTTTTTTGTTCTGCCTATTTACTGCAAATACATTATTTGTACTTTGATTCTCTGAAAGAGTTTTGTTGGTCTCTTTTTACAATTCAAATGCTTTGATATGGGTACCCCACAGACAATTTGAAGAAACTGTGCTTGACTCATATGCATGAACTCTCTGCTTTCATAAGGTTTAAGTCTGAAAACTTTGATGGTTTCATGCTTTCACTGACTTGGCAGTAGAAAACACAAAGCGGCACAATATTACCCTTAACTGTTGATCTCATGCCCTTTTTTGGTAAGGAGCTGTTTTAAGACACTGTGATGTTGTAAAGTGCCAACAAAAGAATGTTCCTGGGAATGGTAGCTTTAGCATGTCAAATGACATCTTTGTGCATGGATAAGATGTACTGACAAGTGATACACACTCTGTCTGCATCCTTGCCTGCTGCATGCAGAGTTTCAGCTATTACCTTGACAAGTGTGCATGGCCAGCCTGACCTGAGACAATTATGACTGCATACAGCTTCTTCAGGGTAAGACAGTGTATGAATAAAAAACTGTAGGGACCTTTTGAGTAGGTTCCTTTTTCATCAGAAACTTCTTAACACAGAGATAGAAAAAAAGTGCCTGGTGGCAGTACAGTTTTGAAAAGTTTGATAAAAATAACATTTCTTTTAGAAAATGGAATGATGGAATAGTCCAACAGTTAGAGTGAAACAATTTTAGCATTGTACAATGGAAACACAATTAACATCTGTCAACGATTTCAGTTTTAAATAAAGCCAAAATTGTTTGTTTAGCTGTTTTACAAAATATATATCCTGTATTTAATAAATGTGCAGATAAATTAATCCATTTGCAATCTTCATTATAATTACTCCATTATCAGTGGAGTATTTTTAACCATCATGCTGTACCTGATCATACAAGACAAAATACTGCATTGAATGCATGGAAATAAAGAATAAAGTTGTGAATTATTGCACAAGAAATGGAATTAGCATAAATATGATCAAATTAATGCCTACTGAATAAGAATTTAGTCAAATTTAATCATTTAACTTTTCCAACTACTAAATTGAGTGATATTGATTTTCATATCTGTAGTCATTTTGCTTTAGATATTGACTTTGTTAAAATCCCAGAAGCCAAAAGGTATAAGCATGAATGGGTTATTTTTATCATTTTGAAATTAGGTACAGATGAGATTAGGCTTTCAGAACTCCAGCAAAAGTCAAATAAAAGATTCTTCTGTCACAAATCTCTAAATATACCAGGAGACAGATTATAATCTGTCTACAATCAAAAGAAATGACAAATCATTAAGGAAGATTAAATAAGGAAAGGACTTTCATTCCTTTAAGGCAGACTCGATATGCACAGCAGACTCAATATGCACAGCAGCTCAGGTTTTCAATGTAAGAAGATAGTAATTTAACAGCTTGGATGAAAATATTTCACTTAGAATTGCAAGGACTTTCGAAGACTGATATGCACTTGTAAGCAAGTGACTATGCCATTTCTGGCTTCTATATAATATTACACAATGCTTAATATTCAGACTTCACATCTTACAGACAAGTGCATCATTAAAATCTTGAGGTGTCAATATTAATTTTAAGATGATGCATTATTTTCAAAAAAACAAAAACAAATTTGCACAAACTACATTCTGGGTGCTGGAACATTTCCCCCTCAATATAATGATTTTGTTACAGTTGTGATATTAGTGAATTCACCCATGCGTTCTGTACTGAAATTGCTCAGATTTCTAAAATTATTGTTGTACAAAACAAGTCTTGTTTAAAAGAGGGGAAAAACAACGAGTATTATTATCAGGTTTTGAATTTGTATGTGTGATACATGTAAAGGTCTAAATTGCAGTTTTAAATAAGGCCAACATGGTTTGTTTTGCTCTTTTGTAAGGTTTAAATGATTTCCTGAAATGTACTGTAAAGTCAAGTCAGCCACTAATCTGCCACAGTCTCCACATTGCCAATTTACCACAGGATGTCACAGCAGAAGATCTTGTTTTTTCTAAAATGTGAAAGGATACCAGAACAAATGAGAATATAATGAGAATATAAGGAAATGTACTGTATGTTTTTGTTCTGTTTTGAATATAGAATGTCATATTTCTCTTTGGTTAATGTTTTCTTTGTTGAGGAATATAATTGCTTTGTATCAGTTTGGAGAAGGGATGTTTTTTGTATTAATTTCTAAATTTTCCTCATCTGCTCTATAGAGGACTTGTGGCACAGAATAAAGTCATTCACAATGTAGGTGGGTGCTGTACCTTTTTGGTGCTGCTGTCCTTTCCTACATATAAATTGCATGCAGGTACAATACCTCTGAGAAAAGTGGTATTCAAAACACCACAGGTTATAAACACATTTATTCAGTAAATTAATGCTGAGAAGCAATGGTGTGGTACAGTACATTATCAGATAGAGAAAGAACACATACTTTATTTTTTTCTTTAAAATGTGCAATTATCAGGAGACATTGAAACAAATGTGAAGCTTGGAAAAGCTTTTCACCCACTAAGTATAAAGGCAATTAAGACTGCAATAATAAAATGAACATTAAAATAATATAAGAAGAATGTCAGTCAGTCTGCACAATACATTTTACTGGACATTATTATTATTTTTTTTTATGTAATCATCCTGGAAATAGTGCATATCATGCAGTTGAGCAATCTGTGTGTCGCTTGTACCAACTTCAAATTTCTAATACTGTATTTCAACAAACGATTTCAAAGCAGATGGGTGACTAAAGAGCAGCATTTCTCCTTTCATTAAGATGTTTATACATATTTTTAAGTCCCTAGAGACAGGAGTTTATGTTCTCATTTCTGTCTGTGGTCTGTGCATGTTTAATTTTGGTTTGCATCTCCATTATGTAAACAATACTTGAATGTTCTCTTTTTTCCTCTCCCCCTTTTTCTGTAGCAATTATTGAACCTACCACTACTAGTGCTGTCTCAAGCCCAGGTCAGTATCCACATACTGTACAGAATCAGTATATTTGGGTACTCTGTAATCTGAAAACTTCTGTTCCATTTAGATATTATCCTGATTGGCTGGAATGCCTGCTGGTGTACAGCTTTTTGTGTCTTATAAGTGTGGGCAGAATTCACATTGCAATTTTTTTCACCGCCCCCCTCCAACAAGACACTTTGTGGTTTCATCTTTGTGATTGTCATCTGTGGCTCTGACACCAATGCTTTCTAATTTTTGCCAGCATTTTCTCTTGCACTTTTCCTCCTCCAATGCAAATGCAATCTGCATGAAAAGGAGAACACTGTTGTATCTTTTTGCTTTATTCTCATTGACTTCTGCATTTTTTTCTAAACAGAATGTTTTTCTGCAAATGAATGATAAGGTATAAAAAACAAAAAAGTGGGATTTTACAACAATTCAAACAGATAATGCCAGAATGAGATTACATGACCTACAGTACTGTATGTGCCAGAATGTGGAGCTCTGGGTGTCAACGTTTACTGTTTCTGTAATCCTTGTCTTCTTTTTTATTTTATTATACATTGATATGACATCTGAGATGTTGGTTACTTGGAGGAAAATGGGTACTTTGACTATTTCTTCCTCAATTTTGAAAAAATTGAAGAAATTCAACTTCCTTGAATTAGCTAAGATTGCCAGTCTGCTGTAACAGTCAATGGAGCAGCAAACAGTGCTTGTCAAAACTGAAATGAATTCACAGATTGCTGCAGACTTAAATTCACAGAATGGTTAGAACTGACTTGATATCTCAGATGTCAACTATTCTCAAAACTGGACTTGGTCTCAGGTGGCTTAAGGTAACAGAAATAGGTATTTAATAGTCACACAGTGAATAGGTTAGTCTATATCTACATCATAGATTTTCTGAGTGAATTTAACAGTTGGTCCTGTATGACTCTAGAAGAAAACAATCCTAAATGATTTCCACTTCTGGCACTGGGGGACTTTGATAGAGTGAAAGGGCATCTTACTTACGGTCACTGCTATTGTATAAGTGGGGAATTGTATAAACAGAGACATTTTAAGCTTCTCTAATATTCTACCAGATAACTGCTCCTACAAGGTCACAGGCAGTTTGGCTTTGTTCACTATGTGAAGAGATCTGAGCTACAGCTTGGTTCTAGTAAAATTATAGTCCAGCTACAGCCCAGCTGAGACATGCCTTATCTGAGCTGAGAGAATCTGGTGTCCAGTTCTTTTATGTTCCAGCCCACCACATTCACTATGGTAAAGATCATTGCTTTATGAAAATAATTCATCAGACTTTACGTGCTCGGAATAGAAGGAATAACAATGATCTAACTATTTAAATACATGAATGGTTTTGTGACTTTCATTTTTTCTAACTGCCCATGTGTAAAAAAGCTAGACCTAAGGTTTTTTCCTCTCTCTCTCTGAGATGTTCTGCTCGAGAAAGCAATGTTAGCATTCACAGATAGTTGACATCTTTTTATATGTAGATGATGTGTTAACATTCTCCCTTTAAAAACAACATAGTATGATTTTTAAATACAAATCAACAAGATTTGATACTGAGAGATCAGATCAGAAGTATTTATTAATGCTGCTTCCTTTTTTTCTGATTGACTTATTTCTGATTTTTTCTGATACTGCTTAGTAAACATTTTTTGGGGGGGAAATGAAACTGTTGGTTTTTTGGATGTAGGGGAAGGAGAGGTAATAGGTGGGGTGGTGTTTTAAGATGTTGATGATAAGATTCTATATTTGACATTCTATCTCACAATTTTCTATCATTGGCTGTTAGGAATATTTAATTAATTAAAAACATTATTCTTTCCTAACATTCTGAGTGATCTCCAATACACACGGTTTGGATCTTTAATGCAGGAAAAATAGCTAAGCAAAAGTAATTAAACTGAAACCACACAATATCACTCAATTTACAAATAAATATGATTAGGTGTTAGTTTCTTCTTCTGCAGAATACAGAGGGCACTGTAATTGATTTTCGAAATTTATGTTCAGAAGACAACCATTTAGGAGTGGTATATTTAAACAATAATATTTAAAGTAAAAAATGCCTTTGTTTCAGTTTACAACCCTATGATGTTTGAATTATTTCTATTATTTTTTGTACAAATCCCTACTGAACCTCATTGAATTTGATGTGAATTGGAGTGTTGTTAGAGAGCTGTCATGAATCGCATACAGATCAACAAACACCTGGATTCAGGCATTCATAGCATTCAGAAATTGAGTTCGATCTGAGTACAGTAGACATTCTGAATGTGGTTTCAAGATAAAGTGAAGGAAGGTCTTCATTTTAACTGTGATTGGTCAGTTATCTTACCAATACCATGGAATGCAGTCAAAGGTTTTATGAAAGTGAATTTCACATTTCAATTTCATTGCATAATTCACAATTGCATAAATCTCACCTTACAAGAATATTTGAATGAGAACCCACAATAGCTTTTACCAACATAATAAACACACTAATGGAAATTCTGGTCAGAAAAAATAATAAATTTAATTTCTTATATTTAGGACTGGGTAGAATTATTATTTCAGTGGATGTTGACCAAGCCATTTATTAGCTTTGAAATGTTTTCAGTAATGGGTTGTGTAGACATTTGGGTACATTCCTGTGCTGTTGGATCAGTACAGGGTGTACTGCGGCAGGTTCCATGTTGATAAATTCGGACATCTTATATGAGCAGGACAATTGTGTGAGATTTCTCAAGGCTCCTATGCCTTTATTTATCCTATACTGTCGTCATTGATACACTAAGATCAGATAGTTTATGAAAAGCAGTCTTGCATTATGATAACATTCTCTACCTTCATTAGCAATGTTCACATTACTAGAGACATTGTTTCTACTTGTGCTGTTCTTTCACTGGGTACAGAGAAAACTTTTGATTGGTGAGGTGATGCACAGGGTCGTGGGTTAAACTGAACTCACTGAGGTACACATTTTTTGCCAGAGAAAGAATGAAGGAGAACTATGAAACCTAAACTGATAATAGATGGAAGCATTACTAGTGTCAAAGCACTAACCTGATGAAGAAAGAGATGCTGACAATTACCAAATGGGGATCTCACCCTTCACCTAACCCTTCACCTAAGAAACATCGTTTTATAGGTAAACAAATTGTGTAAATGGGCTCCAGAAAACTTGTAATCTGTAGTTATTGTGTTGTAATAGCTCTAAGCATTATACAACCTTCAGCTTTGGAGGCAGTTTGGTGGGTAAGAATCGTTTCAAGGGAAGCCTGGTAGGTGAAAGCCAATTAAGCTTTCTCTACAACAGCTGTAGTAAATAAAGTTGAAGATTTTCCATTTTCTGTTGTCCTAAGGTTTATCTTCCCAATACAATTAGTCTGAGTGGAGCTGCCTGTGGTTGGTTTTAGATTATATGGGTTTGGGATCAGGTTCAATTAATTATGAGATAATAATTAAAATGATTCCCTTTTCCCTGCTATCACAATAAAAAATAATAACACATTTAAACATTTCCATAATAAAAACAAATCAGCAGAATAACAGATTTGCAGATATCCTGGCTGTGCATTTTTAATTTTTATTTATTAAACTTATTTTGTGATCTCTTAGCCTTTGAATACTCCTGTATTTTTGAAGCCCAAATTAGAAAATTGTCTCTCCACATAAACTTAAATGTAATTTAGACCAGTGTTCCCCATAGACAATTTAGATTTTGTTTTGGTCCTGTAATTACATACTTAATTACAACTTGGCATTTAGTAGAAAGAATCATCAGATCCTAGGAGACATTCCCATTCACCTCTGTTTCATGATAAACACATTACATGTAACTTCCTTTTCTTTTTTCCACAATGAAAGAACAAAGATACACATACTGGCAGATATTTTAATGATGTTTTTGTTCATTCAAGCACTTGTAGTCCTAACATATGGTCCTGATGTGTAAGTCCTAAAATATATCTTCCTAAGTCCTAAAACATAGAAATCCCTGTACATGGCTTTCTTTTTTCTATTTCCACTCATCTAGACAAGAATTTTCCTGACTGCAACAGATATTCCTCTAAAATAATGACTACAGTTATATTGTTTTACAGCAGGAAAAGGGGATTTGGTTGGCCAGAAACGTTACCTTCCCTTCCCTACCATCATTGGATCCTGACCATTCTAGATATTATTTATCAGGCATTTTCGACTACTTGGATCATGCTGTCAGGGAAGGGTGTGGGAAGAGGAGACACACAATTCTGCTGCTGAGTTGGTCAGGATTTTACTGCACGATACTTACAACCAGTTTTGTATGAGTGTGCTTCTGGAGTCCCTTTGTGAGAGACTCCAAAGGGAATACCACGTTTATTTTGCAAACAGCCATATCACTCTGCAACTCACAACTGGCAACCCACTGAACCTAAGCAGCTGTGAGCCTGGTCAGTACCTGGATGGTAGACCTCCTGGGAAAAACTAAGGTTGCTGCTAGAAGAGGTGTTAGTGGGGCCAGCAGGGGGCGCTCACGCTGCAGTCCACGTGGGTCCTAATGCCCCAGTATAGTGACGGGGACACTATACTGTAAGCAGGCGCTGTCCTTCGGATGAGATGTAAAACCGAGGTCCTGGCTCTCTGTGGTCATTAAAAATCCCAGGGTGTTTCTCGAAAAGAGTAGGGGTGTAACCCTGGCATCTTGGACAAATTTCCCATTGGCCCTTACCAATCATGGCTTCCTAATAATACCCATCTATGAATTGGCTTCACTACTCTGCTCTCCTCCCCACTGATAGCTGATGTGTGGTGAGCATTCTGGCGCACTATGGCTGCTGTTGCATCATCCAGGTGGATGCTGCACATTGGTGGTGGTGGAGGGTCCCCATCACCTGTAAAGCACTTTGAGTGGAGTGTCCAGAAAAGTGCTATATAAGTGCAAGCAATTATTATTATTAGTAGTAGTTTTGTAAAATTAAAATTAGCAACATTTTGTTCCTACAAACATAGTACAAATGCTAGATATTGTC